TTTTTTTTTTTTGACTGCACATCTCCTCTTTCATGTATTGCAGTATGTTGCAGAGCAGCTCCAGGTACAGAGACACCCGGTGGTCTGCACGTGCTCAGCAGCTGAAATACAGGCGGTGCTGTCTGCCGTGCTCACTCGCATCCAGAAGTTGTGAGTTTTTCTGATCGAATCTAACACACACACACACACACACACACACACACACACACACACACACAGCGAGCTAGACTCATTGGTGTGCAGAGTGACTCATCTGTTTAGTCTTTCTTCTTGCTCTGAGCCTTATTTTTCTGACTTCTGTTCTTCCTTTGACCCTTATATATTTTGCTCCTTCTGTTCTCCTCCTCCTTTTTTTGCCCCTGTGACTCACTTTGCTTTATCAAAGCAACAAAAACTTTATATGTCTCCCATATCTGCATCCATCACGTCAGCTTGTCCCTCTGCTTATCACTCTCTCCCGCACATGTGGGAATTCTTCTGGTTTGTGTTTGCACTGTTTGCATGAAATTTGCCTAAACATGAAGGAAATGTCATCAGAGCAATAGTTAGAAATATAAAATGATTATTTTGCCTTAAATAATGTGAGTTAGATTGTAGTCTGGGGATAAAAGGAGCTTCGTGTTTCTTTTTCTAATGCAGGAGCTGGGACTGAAGTCAAACCCATTACAGTACAGCCACAGTAACAGGTTTTATTTAGCTTGCTAGCCATCAGTAACAGTACCTGGAGTGCAACGCAGTGCCTGTATTTCTGCTGTTAAAAACACCTCTGCAGCACATTCATGGATAGAGCCTGGTCAGTGATTATTTAGCAAGTCATGAATACACATCAGTAATAGTACAGAGGACGAGTCTCACAGTTTTAGTGCAGTTTACGCTCTGAGCTGTCATCTTGGATTGTGAAGTTGGAGTTAGATTGTCTTCTCCAGCTTTCCGAGTGGGATAGTGTATCTTGAGAGGGTTTTCTGGCTGAAAATTCTGAGTGGGAACTCTGGATTTCTGACTTCCCACTTCAAATGGAATTCAGTATAAAAATGAAGGGCGATCCACACAGGAAACATCCTTAAAACTAGAGTTTTCATACACCTGTGTGTACTATGTCCTTTAAAAACGCCCACAGTCTGGGTTCCTGAGCACTGAATGAATTCTCACTAGTTTGATGTGCTTCATCTCAGGCATCTGCTTTTCTTTCCATTCTGGTTACCACTAGTTTGCACTTTTGAAGGGAGTAGGACACACTGTAATAAGAAATCTAGATTTTTAGGATATTTTCCAATAGAGATTAGGTTGTGTTTCTTAAAACAGGAATGTTCTAAGTATGTTTTGAGACGATAATCAAAATTTTTGATTCTTGAGTAATGAGTATTTCTCCCTCCCTCTCTCTCTTTCTTTTTCCTGGTAGCTGCAACTGTAACTCGTCCATGCCCAGACCAGTGAAGGTGGTGGCGGTGGGCAGCCAGAGCTACCTGGGAGCCATCCTGCAGTTCTTCGTCACCCAGCTCGCCAACAAGACGTCTGACTGGCTGAACCACATGCGCTTCCTGGTGGTGCCGCTGGGTGAGAGAGCCTACTTTTGTCTCCTCCTGCAGAGTCAGACTGCAGCAAAGTTTTACTGCTTTGCAGGAAGTGATGTCTGGTGCACACAGTCACTTGTCTGCATGCTAATTGGGCTTTGGGAAATGCTGTAACTTGTTAGTATGTCTTGATTGTTGGCACATTGGTAGGAGGAACAGGCAGTCGTGTTAGCTCATTAAACTCCTCGATCCTTCTTCCTTCCACATTCTCACCTTCCCGCTCTCTCATTATATTCATCAGGCTCTCATCCTGTGGCTAAACACCTCGGAGCCCTCGACAATCGCTACAGCTCCTCCTTTCTGGACGGGGCGTGGAGAGACGTGTTCAGTCGCTCAGAGCCGCCGCAGACAGGTACCACACGTGCCGTCTCCCCTCAGGACATACTTCAGCGTTTCGCACATTTATTCACTTCTCCAATTGTTTTATTTTCTCCTGCAGATCAGTTGGATGTGGCAGGAAGAATTTCCCAATACATCAGCGGAGCTACAGTAACACACCAGCTGCCCATCGCCGAGGCCATGCTAACCTGCAAGCACAGAACGTGAGTACAGATGTCAGCGAACACACACCAGATCTCTGATCTTTTAGGTCTTCTTTAACAAACACCGCTCACTGTCCTTTTCCCAGGCGGGATGAAGACTCCTACCAGAAGTTCATTCCTTTTATTGGGGTGAGAATTATACTCTTGAGTGGGAACTTTTTACCTTTGCTGCTGCTCATCTTCAGGATCTTTGGCTCACATCCCTTCTTGTTTTCCAGGTGGTGAAGGTTGGTCTGATCGAGTCTGGTCAGTCTCCAACAGGTGAGTGTTTGGAAAATGTCAAAAGATGTTAAAATTCGATTTAGGGTTTCACGCTCTTATTTCCATTTGGGTTATGAAGGAGATGCGGAGGAGGGTGTAGCAGTGAGCCTCGCTGTCCCCTCCACATCACCACCCTCCCACGGCTCTCCCACCGGGATGATCAAAGAGACAGCCACGCCTCCCTCCTCTCCCTCCATGGGGAGCGTGCTCACAGTTCAAGGGTAAGAGTTCGCTAACATTCATATTCTTTTACAGGATCTTGTTTTATCATATTCCTCATTATCGCAGCAGTGTGGGTGGAATATCGCTAGAAATGGTCTCACATGTCACTGTGTTTTTGTTATAACATGTAACTTGGTATGACGGATTTCCCTGTGTCTGAGGCGAGTTTCCAAATATTTGATTTGGGGATTTCAGTCTTCAAATCTTCATTTCATTCATTTATTTATTTATTTTTAAATCTGATGATTATAAAAGGACAGAAGGATGTAAATAGGCTGTAGTTAGTATTGTTGAGGATCTAGTGAGTAATTATACTGATGTGCTTTAAATCAAGTCCTCAGATGTAGATATTTAAAGAACCGTTTATTTTATTCAGGTTGATTTTCTGTTGATGTCTCAGCTGTCAGCATGCATGTTGATGATGCTGTCAGTACTGAGCTGTGGCAGAGGGATAAATGCCTTTTAATCAGCCGTCTGCTTGTTCTTTAAGCAAACAGGCAGCGAGTTGTTCGTGTTTCTCTGAGATCCTCCTCCAAGTTGAGGCTCTCTTTGATGCTTCAGCCACTGAATCAGATGTTTTTTTGCTGCAGTGCCTCTCTGCAGAGCTCTCACTGATCTGATCTTTCACATTTCGCCCTCTGCAGAAATTATTTAGGGAGTGTGTTGAACATGATGAATGAAATTCAGCTGTCAGATTCAAGTCGGTCTGCTCGTGAAGCTGTTAAATTATCTTACAAATGTGTTTGTGATGTAAAGAAAAGTTAGATGTATGTATGTCTCATAATTGGACCAGAGCAGAACCCCTCACTGCATCTGTGTATTCTGCTGAAACTAAAAACTACAAATAATGTCAGATAAATATGTTAATAATTAAGTTCTTCACAAGTTTGACATGAGAGACCAGAGAATAATAGGAGAGTTCAGTTATGAGGCTTTACAGTTGTCACGAAGGGCCTGAGAAAGTCGCTCATGCACGCGCTGTCTGTCCACAGGAGCCCCAGCATGTCCCACGGCGTGGACGCCATCGGCCTGCAGGTGGATTACTGGCTGGCCTCTCTGGCAGAGAAGCGGCGGGAGGGAGAGCGGCGCGACACAGGCTGCAAGAACACGCTGAAGAGCGCCTTCCGCTCGCTGCAGGTCAGCAGGCTACCAGGCGGGGGCAGCAGCGATCCACAGGCCCAGGTCAGCACCATGGCCATGACTGTGGTCACCAAGGAGAAGAACAAAAAAGGTGAGGCGTTTGAAATCTGATGCTTTAAATCATTTTTATGATTATGGCTTTACTTGAAACTAAAATTGAAACTGTACTGCATTCAGAACAGACTGAGGCCATATTACATTGTTATCACTAAATAAGTGTTTTTGACTTGCAGGCTTGTTGCAGTTAGCCACGTTCCCTGCAGATAGGCCCTAAAATAGTTACTGCAAAGCCCTTTGGACAAGTCTTTAAAAGAAATCCCTCAGATCCATGTTCAGAGCGCATACTCTGAGAAGCAGGTTATAGAGATATGTGTCCTCTGTAGTGGGATACTAGAGATTTAAATGCAATTGAAGTAAGCCAGTTTAAATCTAGACTCACACTGCCACCCAGTCGCCGTCTCCCTCCACCACACAGCACTTTGACTCTGGTGTTTGTTCCTCCCTTCAGTTCCTACCATCTTCTTGGGGAAGAAGCCCAAAGAGAAGGACGTAGACTCCAAGAGCCAGGTCATCGAAGGCATCAGTCGACTCATCTGCTCGGCCAAGCAGCAGCAGACCATCCTGAAAGGTGAGCTGGATGATCGCGAGCAGCTTTATTGGTTTCTTTCCTGCTCACATTGTAGCTTCTCCTCACCGTCGTTTTCATCTCCCACCAGTGTCCATAGACGGCGTCGAGTGGAACGACGTCAAGTTCTTCCAGCTGGCCGCCCAGTGGCCCACTCACGTCAAATACCTACCTGTCGGACTTTTCGGCTACAGCAAGCCTCCCTCGTAGGGCCAAGCGCCTCGACTCCTCTAACCTGACCTGACCTTTCGACTGCCCTCCACACAAACCCCACCTCTCAGCCACCCGCAGAGCTGAGGGAGGACATAAAGCAGCTGGATTTTCTCCTTTTCCTTAATCTCATTTTGGCTTCAGTTGTCTTATTTGTCTTTAGGGAGAGGATGGAGGGTAGCGCTGGGGTGCAGTGCTGTTACTAGTCACTTTATTATTGCCCCCTTTCTGTGTGTGTTGGTGTGCTCCGTGAGTAT